AAATCTCTCTAAATGTTCATTAAAATTATTAAAATAAAATTTAAAAAAAAAAATAAAATAAGAAAGCTCAACCTACCACAAGTTCAAAAATGTCCATGAAGACAGAATGTCCCTTAGGAGTTTTCTCATTCAGACTGGCCGGAGACCAGATCCAATAGAAGTAAGTACCATCTGAAGACAGGTGCACGGTGCTCATAGTGCTGCCAATGGGCAGGTGATTGGCTGGCATGGACACCACCTGACCCACCTGGCCATGAAAGAGAGGAAATCGGTATCAGCATGAAAATGAAATTCTGGTACTAAGTTCATCAATGACAGTAAGCTCCAAGAGAATCACAGGGCCTTTTGATTAAAACAATACTGATATTTATCTCCCCAAATAACATGTGGAAACCATAGGACAAAAACAGAAAAGGTCCTATAGTGGGTAACAACATAAACATGATTAGTCATGAAATAGAAAAAAGGATTTTGAAGGTTAACTCAAATTATAATTTAATAGGAAAAAGTATTTCCTTAACACTTCAAATCTGTTATACCCACATATTTTATGTAGCATTAAAAACATAGTTTTAAAAAAAAGTACTGTCTGTAATTTTCTTGGTAGACAAAATGTACGATTATTTACATTTAAGAGATAAGAATGATACTGTTGGAGCGCTGGTGGCCTAGTGGCAAGAAGCTGAACTGCAATCCTGAAGGCACTAGGTTTGAATCCACCAGATGCTCCACTGGAGATGGAGGGGCAATCTCTTCCTGTACCAGTGGTATCCAATTCAACAGTATACACTCAACAACAAACAAATAAAATTTTTTTAAAAACGAAAAAAGAATGATACTGTTATTTGTGTTCATATCCCTAGCACCTAATTCAGACCTAACTCAACGTTGTTTAAGAAACGGACATTGTAACCACACTGAACATGTGTCTTTATTTCTTAAAATGGAGTGAAAGGTAAAAGGTTTATCTGTTAAAAAAAAAAAGAAAAGAACATAGAAGGGAGTAAAAAATAAAGAGCGGAATGATGTCAAGAAAGAAGAAGGAGAAACGAGGAGAACAAGTTAGAAAGTAATGAATGTATGTGAATGAAATATTCCAAGTTCCCTTATGAAAAGGTTAGTGAAAGCTAAGAAGGCTTACTCAAATCCACCAAGTTCATGAGAAGAGAAGTTTCCTTCATTAGATATGAAGTACGTGTTTCTAACCCTAAACAGCCTTCATGTTCAGCATCATGGATTGACTGTACATCATTTCATATTAAATGTGTAGTTACATACTCATTTCTACTACCAGACATTAGCACTTAAAAAAAGAGAAAACTAAAATGAAGAAAACAGCTGGCTAAGCTTAAAGAACATTCAGGAGTAGGGGAAGAGTAGAAAAATAAGAAATGAAAATAATCAGAGAAGGGCAGATGCCCTCGGGGGACTGTGAGAGTATCCCTTTGATTAGTCACTTACTTTATTTCCACAGTTTCAAGTTTTCCTAAGGCTAGCTTTTTTTTTTTAGTTGTTATTGTTTTTTTTTTCTATTCTATAATTATATTTTATTAATTTTCATAAACATTTACAGAGATTTTGGGTTTCCATTCATTCACCGCTGCACCATTCTCTCTACCCTCCTCCCAGTTTGTTCTTGTCCAAATGCCACAGTGCTTGTCAAAGCTAAGGCTAGTTTTGATCCCCCAACTCTTTCCAGATGCACTTTTGCCCCAACTTGTTTTGTCTGTTGCGAATCTAAAAACTCCTTTAGCTGCTGTTTTTGTACTCTGCTGAACCTATGTTGTTTTTGTATGTGGGTAAGAACCAACTCACAGCTGACCCTCCAGCAAGTTTTCAAAGGCAATAAATCAAACAGGAGTTGACTGCCCACCTTTTTCCCTCAGAGCTGTTGGTGGATGCAAACTGTGTACCTCTGCATTGGCAGTGTAATTCTTTACAACTAAGGCACCAGCACTCTAGAAAATCTACAAGGCCAACAGCTATGGATTGTTCTATGCTCACCCCCAGTCACTTTCAACACACATGTCTATTAACTGATCTAAAGTACAACTTTCTTGGATCATTTCAAATTCTGGTAACAACATAAAGAAAATCTATGTATATGTTTAAATGTAAGTCATGTTCTGAAATTTGACATCTGTTCAACTCCTAGGCTTATAATTCTTTTTAAAAAAATACAGAAGAAAAATAAACTAGAAGACAGTTCTTATCGGTCTGTGTTAGTACAAGGAAATGAGGTTAAGGCACCAGTATTTTATTTGTTCATTTCACACTTTTGACAATCATTAAACAGGTGCTTGGGAGACATCACCATGAGCGACATACTAGTTAAGGCATAGTTGAGTGATAAGCAATTATGGACCATGTAAGTTTAGGCAAGTGAGTGGCTTTAGTTTATTTAACAATAAGCACTTACTGAGTTTTTATACTATGCCTAGTCTCAACTGCCTTATCTCGAGGATATGGCCACCATAGTTACATTTCACATGTAGGGAAAGGAAAGGAAGTACATAGGAGCTTGGCACAGGGAGAGACATTCATAAATATAAGTCCTATTACTGTTATTATTTTTATCAGATAGATATTAGATATCAAATATCCATTAGCTATTCTGCTAAAGGGATACAAAGATTAGTATGCCATAATCTAGTTCTAAAGTTCTTTATCCTAAAACCCAAACCATCTGGTAGCTGTCAACTGTGACTCCCAGCATGCTAGCATACTTCTAGCATACTCCATCATGTTTCCAAGACTGCAAGTCTTGAAATGGGAGGAGAGTGGCTGGTAGATTTGAACCACCAACCTCTCAAGTCAATTCTAACTTCCAGTGACCTTTCAACAGGTTTCTGAGGTTGGAAATCTTAATAGAAAGACACTGTCCATCTTGCTCCCAAAGAGCTACTAGTTGATGCTACCTGGCAGAGATGCACAGCCTTTTGGTCAGCAGCACAAGAGGTAACCAAAGTGCCTTTTTCAAGGTCTGTAAAAGTTGGTACATCTGAGCCAGACATAAGAACAGGTAATTTTGGTTTAATGGAGCAAGTGCTGCAATAAAGAACACTAAAGAGGAGCTCTTAATCCCCAACACACAATTGTTTTGTTTTGAACTCATTTCAAAGCTCCCTTCCCACTGTTCAGAATAAACTGAATAGGGAAATCAAAGGCTGTTTAGAACAAATTGGAGAGGGAAAGGATGCTGTCCCCAGACAGATCAGAGTTTTAAAGATTAGCTAGGATTTATATAATTCTTCACTCTTTAAAGGCTGTTTGTTTAAAAATAATAATAATAAAAAAGCTTATCACTGGCCTTTATAACTCAATGTATTCATTCAGTTCAAGAAGAAAGGAGTTGAGATTTAAGAAAGCAGAGAAAAAATCAGAACAGTAAAACTATGAAAATCAGAAGGATGCTTCTCTGGCAATAAAAAATTTATCAACTGTGCTAGTACTGCTTCTGATGATGCCTGATATTTCCCTTTTGTAGCCAAAATATACAGGATAATGCCTTTATTTTCTGCTTACCTGAAGAGTATTCTGGTCAATGACCTGGAAAAGGAAGTGAGGCTTATTATCAAAAGACACAGGCCGGTGGAGAAGACTGCCGCTGCCAAATGCTAGCCATCCCGGCTCCAGCTCCTCGTTTCGACAGTACACAAAGCCTCTGAGGGTTAGAGAAGGGCATTTCATCAGACACGGACACAGATAGCATCTCCCACCTGCTCTGAGAAAAGGACCAATTGATGCCAACAACCAGAAGGTGTGTGCAGGCACCTCTTGTTCCACTGCACTGCACTTCACTTGACGGCACTCTGAAGAGACTGCAGTTTTCACAAACAGAAGTTTGTGGCAACAATGTGCTGAGCAAGTCTATTACCACCATTTTTTCAAAAGCATGTTCTCACTTTGCGTTTCTGTCACATTTTGGTAATTCTCACAATATTTCTAACTTTTTCATAATGCTCTTGCACACTTTACTTTTATATATACAAAATGGTGTTTTTTGCTTTACTGTGATATTTCCTTTGTTGTGGTGGTCTGGATCTGAATCTGTAATATCTGGGATTGTATGTCTATATTTAGTTTACTTTGGAGTTGACAAACTATCATAAATATTAAATTTCCACAAGTAATTAGAAAAAAAGGTTGGGTGAAAGGCTTAGCTAAGAGTCTCAAACACTGGCTTCTTTTGGTAGTATTGCAAAGATTTTACATCTTATAAATCTTAGCTCTCTCGACTCACTCAACAGCACCCAATAACAACAGATCTTAACTTGAAACAACTTGCTATGCCAATGTTAAATCCAAGTACCAAAACACTTAACTAAAAAACAAGGGGAAAAGAAAGAACTCACTTAGCAATTTCTATTTATAACCATGGAGAAGTCACTGCTATTATTACAGGGATTCAGAGCACAGAGCATTTCCTGGCTGGAAACATGATCACAGCACTACCAAATGTGGTCAGAGTCAAGACAAAGAAAGGCTGTCTTTTTTTTTTTTTGTTAAGAAAGGCTGTCTTAAGAGAATATGAGAAAGAGGATGGTGGCAGTAAGAGGAAGGAATGGACTGCTATGTTTCAGACTTGACCTTAGTTACATATGGGTAGTCAGTGTTCAACCCCAAGGGCTGTCTTTACAAAGATTAACATGAAAAGGAAAATGGTCTTTCAGCAAATTCCATGCAACTGACCTGAGAGTGCCATGCAATCCAGACCCCAATTTGCTTACTCCTCTTCCCACAGAGTTGGTCGTATACAGGTAAAGGCCATCTGCTGTGAGACAGCGTCCCAGGTCAGCATCTGAAAGCAGTTTCCACAAGTGAATCATAGGCATTATTGCTCTCATAAAGGTGCAAAAGCATACTTTCTGTACTGAAAAACAGCATTGGGGGTCGAGGGAAACACAATCTCCCACTTCTAAAATAAGAGCTTCAAAGTGACTTTTAAAGAACGCTGTTCATAAATTCCAAAATTAACCAATAAAAAATTCAGGGGGTGCAGGTTCAAGCAAAGTGGGAGGATAAAAACCAGCCAACCTTCTCCCCCCTTTAATGAAAGAAAATATTAAGTCAATGTAAAGCACCTCTGATTCTATCAGGAAATTATTAAGAGCGTAAAACTCTAATTGGAGGCAGAAGGGACATCCATTTCCTACATAACATGCCTCCGGAAACTCGATGAACTTTGATAAATGTCGATAGTTGTAGAGGGGCTTCAAGCCTTTTGTTCAGAGGGTAACTATGAGGTGTGCTCGACTCGAAGGCAATCAACAACAATACTGTAATTAGTGATGATGTAGGCTTAAGTTTTCAACAGCCTTGGGTACTTTTTGGGTAACCTTGACCTCTCTTTCTTCATCTGTAAGATGTGTTTTGTAGTATATGCATCCAAGGTTACTGCCATGGCTAAATGAGATCATATTCATTTGTTACAATGTTGTCTGTTCCCTGGAAAGTCAGTAGTCCATGAATGGTGAATGACAATATTCAGATACACTGATTATACACATTAAGCTAAAATCTTTATCTGCGGATTTTTCCATGCAGAATTCTAATTTTAGTTTAAGTGTAGCACAGCATAAAAGGGTAACATCTCTTCTATGTAAAAATACCAGCTGCCTTCCCCCTTGACTAGCCTTCTCCAAGCTAAGTAAATACTATCTTCTATCCACTTAGTTTGGTAACTCATATTTTAAAGAATTTACCTTAAAGACAGTGTTTATAGTTAAAGCTATGAGTGCTAATTTTTTTTTAGGTGGCACTTGTTTTTTTGTTTGTTTGGCTTTAAACATTCAAAAGATTTTCACTGTTGCAATTTTCTTCTTTCCTCCCCTCCCCTCTTTCTCAGCTCTCCCTGCAATGAACCCTTTGTTCGACTGTTGTCACACATATAATGTCTAATCTTATATTACTTTTGGGCAGTTCTTTCCCTCATCTGATCTAATGTAGTCTTTACTATCTATCTACTCTTTTCCCGTTCTCTCCACAACTCCTGCCCCCATGTTTGTCCTATTTTATAGTAGCAGTGTTATGCAGTATTTGTCCTTAGGTGACTGAGCTATTTCACTCAGCATAATGCCCTTCAGGCTTTCCCATGTTGTGTAATGTTTTACAAGTTTCTCGGTCCTCCGTTAATATTTCATTGTGTGACTATACCATAGTTTTTCTATCTATTCACTTGTTAATGGGCACTTGGGTTGCTTCCATCTCTTTGCTATTACGAACAATGAGTGCTAATGATTATCAGCATTCCATCATATACTTATTATCCTGTGGCCTTCAAGAAGTTCTCCATCCTCATGGGTGGAGACCTCTTACTTCTCCTGCTGAAAGTGGTATAGTGGTAAAGGAACGAAATCATCTCCATGAAGCCCTATCACTCACAGGGTTAGCAGTACCTTCCTACACGATGCAAACATCACACCATTGAAATCAGTACTGAGTATGATACCTTAAAACTGGGTTTACTAATTGGAAGCAAGTGGTACCTATGAACATTGGTTCTGGGAAGAAAAGTTAAAATAGGTAATCATTTTTAAAATATTCACTTCCTGTTTAAACATCTTCTCTTCATTGAATTCAACCTAAATTTTGAAAATTTTAGATGGCAATCTAAAGATTACAGGCCAAGATCTTAACAGTGTGAGTCTAGCCACGAGTGGCAGTGAAGGTGCTAGCTAAACAGACTGACCAAGAATATTCTCTCAACTTCTATACATGTTGAATCCTTCCATATTAAAAGTATTTAAACATTAAATTACCATAAGAAAAGGATCAAGAAGGAAAACAAAGATACAGAAGAGTGTAGAACAAACACATCGGCTGAATACCATAATCCTCACTAAGAGATACACTAAAGGGGAATAAAGAGATTTAAGGTTTTGGTTTTGCACGAAGATGCAAATTCAAGCCTGCAGTAAGTTTAGAGAACTTCCTGGAGGACCACAAACTCTTGCTTCTCCTGATCGCTCTGGTGAAGTCATGAAGGTAAAAAGCAACATCCACACTGGCCTGCCTACTCTGCTGACCTCATGTGACAGCCTGTAGAAATGGCAGTCCTTGGATAAAAGCTGAAAGGGTAGCCTGTTGCTCAGATAGAGACCTATATACTTGCAGCCACCAGAAGGTTGCCCCCACTGACACTGGGACAAAAAGGGGAGAATAGTTCAGAACAGACTCTTGATACCACATCTAATTCATACCAATTGTACCAGCAACTTGTTTCTGTTGAGTCTTTCCAAAATATTAGACATTTTAAAATGGAGGTGCCGTGCTGGGTTTGGTTTGTTTTTAGCATTTTTTTTCTTCAGTTCTGTGATACTTAGTGCTATAGCCATAACAAGTTTCAATGGCAGTAACAAACAGGTGTGGGAACAAGGTGAACTCTTGATAAGCCTGTAGTTCTGCTGGTGGGACAGAAGCACACAGATATGTTCAGCTGAGCTCCCAGCCCCACGGGTGTACTGTGCTGTGTATGTTCCAGTGTGCCACTGGAGAGGCTTGATCCACCTGCCAAGTCAGTGAAGTGAAGGTCAATTAAGAGAGCCTATGGCATGTTCACCAAGAAAAGTAGAATAAAAAGACCTGAAGTACTGGAAAGCTGTAAAAACATTTCCATCTAACCCATGGTATTTTAAAAAAGATGAAAAGATTTATGCCCTCTTCCACTGCTTTACTGCTTTTGGCTTTTAGGACTGAAGTGTTGATAAACACACACAAAACATGACAGACAAAAAGAAACTGTATCAAACAGGAAGACTTGATATTTTTATTATATTAAGAGGCAGTTTTCACCTTAAGGCTCCCATGTTCAAATCAGTTGTCTAGAAACCAATTTAAGTAATCTATGCCTCCCTGGCACGGTGCACAGATAATGCCTTTCCTTTCTATACTAACGCCTATCCATTTGCTTACCTCATAGAGTATCAGTTTTTTATACTTTTCCTGACAACACAATGAACACACTGTATAAGAGTCAAACTAAAAGGTACACAGTATTTGGTCTAAATCTTTTCCCATAACAAATTTGTGTTAAGATCTAAAAGCTGTACATGATCTTAGAGGGAAAAATTTTTTTTGACATCTTAATATAAATCCCTGAATAAAAGAAATCTGTGCAGTACCTTTATTTTCAGAATTGGAACCCGTGTTGCTCTCTGGTGCCGGTAACATGTCTTCATACCCCCATGAAACAATGTGCTTGCCACCAAGCAAACAGGAAGGTGATCCAGGTCCTCCTTCCAAAATCAACAGCCTATAAGGAGAGAAGGAGAACCACACAGATCCCAAGACTACCCATTTAAGCCAGAAAAGAAAAATCTACCCTATTAATCAAAAAGCAGAATACTAAGATAGTTTTCACATATAGTATTATACACCTGTAAAGACAGTCATAACGTGTTATAAATTTAAAAGACTACAAAGCTATTTAAAGGAGTGTTACAATTATAACTGTGTGTGTATATATATTTTACACAAAATTATAACAACATACAGATAATACATATGTATGCAGTAATGTAGATAATAAAATTCACTGTCCAAGCAAATTCCAACTCATAGCAACCCTGGAGGACAGAGTAAAATTGAAAGTCTGTTAATCTTCATGGAAAGAAGCTGCTTTATCTTTTTCCATGGGACAGCTGGTGAATTAGAATTAAATTCTTTAACCATTACAACAGGGCTTTAGTAATATATGTATCTACAGAGTTGTAATTATATTATAGAGTACTTATATGTGTACATATAACATACATGTGATATGTATGGGTTACGAGGTACATATAACCAAACAGGAGGATAATGATTTCTGGTGGCAAGATTATGAATGATTCTCACTTTCTTCTTCAATACAGTACCATCTTAAAATTTGCAGTACACATCCAATTTGCTCCAACCTACTGCATTTTTAAGAAACATCAAAACAAAAAAATTATAACATGCAGGAACACTTTCAAGAAAAGGACAGATGACATAAACATAAAATATGTATTTATTATATAACATTTATTAAGTCCAAAAACTGGATATTTTTATCTTTATATTTTCCTATTAGGTTTTAATAGCTTGGGAATCTATTTATAAAAGGAGTTTCAGGCACAAATCTGTAATATAAGGAAGACAGTTAGGGACCCCCAGTGGCAGCTTACCTATATAGTACATCAGCGACAGGGAGGGACCCTAGATCAGTCTGTTTCTGTAACAGATGCACTGTGTGGACAAAAGTTTTCAATGATCCCCTGAAAGTGAAAGAAGAGAACAGAAAATCATTAACACTGAAAAGTCAAGTGACTGAAGCCACAAATGGAAGTTCCATTAATTCCATGGGAACAATCTAAAAATTGTATCTGACCTACAACCAAAGCCAAAGACTGGGGGGAAAATGTTTGGCAATGACATATCCGACAAAGGCCTTGTATCTTAAAATTTATAGAACACTGCAGCACCTCAACAAGAAAAAGGTAAACAACTCAGTCACAAAAGGGCACAGGATATGAGTAGACACTTCACCAAAGAAGACATTCAGATGACAAACACATGAAAAAATGTTAACAATCCCTAGCTGTCAGTAAAATCCAAATGCAAACAACTATGAGGTATCATCTTACCCCAGCAACAATACCACAGTTCAACAGGCCAGCAAGCAACAAATGCTGGTGAGGTTGTGGAGAGATTGTAACTCACTTCTGGTGGAAATGTAAAATGGCACAAGCAGAAAGGAAGGCAGTCTGGTGCTTTCTTAAACAAGTTAGAAACAGAAATACCATTTAACCCAGCAATTCCACAGAGCCACAACTCAAACAGATGTTTGCATGCCCATGTTTATTGCTGGGCATTATTCACAACAGCAAAGAGATGGAAGTAACCCAAGTCCCCATCAATAAGTCCATGCACACTGTGGAATATACTACACAGTACTGAAAAACAATGAAACTGTAAAACATTATACGACAAGGAGGAGCTTTGGTGACATTATGCTAAATTAAATATCTCAGTCACAAAAATGACAAATACTACATACACTGCTGTTATAAAATAGAACAGACATGGGGAGGTTGCGGAGTAAATGGGGATAGAATGGACAGGTAATGAACACTGCATTAGAACAGATGAGGGGAAGAACTGTCTGAAAGGAACATATGAACAAGGGGTGCACTGCAGGGAGGGTGGGGGGAGGAGGAGGAAAGGGTGAGAATGTACAACAATGAATATACAAAAGGGAAAAAAGTATCTGTGGTTCTGCCAATCAGATGATGCACTGTACAAATTATACTTGGTTCTTTTTTTTTTAACAGTCGGTGTTCCCATTTCTTTGCTATTGTGAATAATGCAGCAGTAAATATGGTTGTACATACATCTGTTTGCATCACAGCTCTGGTGGCTTTAGGGTATATTCCCAGTAGTAGAATTGCCAGGCCAAATGGTATTTCTATTTCCAACTTTATGAGAACATGCCAGACCACTCTCCATAGTGGTTGTACCATTTTATGTTCCCACCAGCAGTGCATAAAAGTTCTAATCTCTTCACATTTGTTTGCTGCCCTGTTGAACTTTACTCTTGTTGCTGGGGTGAGATGCTATCTCATAGATGTTTTTATTATACTTGATTCTTACCAACTACCACTGGCTCCACTAAAAGTTAGTATGCTGAGTGGAACCATGCCAGTTATGTTACCCTTGCTTTTTATAGGTAAACTGTTTCCCCTTGATACAAAAGCTACAAGTATAAGGCTCAAGCACAAAGAATATGTGGCTATTATATCTAACAACTGTTTTCATCATCAAGCTATCCTCTCTAGAGGAGAGATTTCAGACAGTGAGGTTATATTTAAGACCTGATAGTGTTTTTAGGCTTGAGATTATAGATAAATAGACAGTCAATCCCATATGACATCTGACTACACCACATCACATTAAATAGTTAAAAAAGGAGAACATGTAACCAGCCAATGCTCTGTGCCAAGATTTTCTCCTTCTGCATCTCCTTTCTGTGAGCAGGGAATTGTAATACTTGCAGGGCTCATCACTATACCTACCTATATCCTTTCATTTCTTAACGTCTAGGTTTCTAGGAAGTCTGTAAGACAGACAGCAGGATCTAAAAGAAGGTACTCTTAAGAAGTACAAGATTTACCTGGCCAGATTCCAAGCAAAAATCACAAGGAACAATTCCTGAACTAAATGATCACCTGTATCAGAAGGGCTGACTTCAGGACTGCTGCCTTAGTCTCTTATCGAAGGCTTTAATTACTAAGTATCATATGCCTAACCCCAAAAGAAATGTAATACCTAACACTGGATGGAGTCGGCCTAAGGCCGTCTTCTTAACTGCCCCTTTCACTGTTTTGTGTGCAGATTAGAAAGGGCAAAAACACTGTGAATAGGGAGGCAGCGGATAGTGTGTAAAAGTATACACTGAGAGTCAGGTTATGCAGGCTCTGAACACTGGCTCTGCACCCTGAGGCTGCACAAGCTCCTACTTTCATTTCACTTCTGTGGATTCCTGTCTGTCCACCAGGGTACCTCCCTGGGGTAAGAGCACATTGAGTTGCCTATATAGTTGATAGCTATAAGGTACTATTTATCTGAGGGGGTGCATCTCACCGGAGGAATGAAAATGAAAGCCCTGCGAATGCTCCTAAGGTCTCATGTGATCTAGACCCTGTCTCGTTTCCTACCCTGTTCTCCACTCATTTCCCAGCTGCTCAGCTCTCCCTCGGCTGCCCCACTCAAGAAGAACGTCAAGAGTATTGCCACATGTGTTCCCTTTGCCTTGAACTGCCTGTGTCTGGCTTTGCTGCACGACTGACAATTTCCAGACATCAAGGCCTCAGTTTAAATGTTCTCTTCAGTATCATCTCCCCTTGAGGTATTGTTGTGGGGTCCCACCACCTATACCACTGACTTCTCTCTATCCCTGCCCCTAAAAAGTTCATGGTTTGCTTGTCTTTACAGTGCTCATCCCTTTTACAAGATTATCTTATGCAAGTATTTGCCATTCATTGCCTTCTTTACCCTCACATAAACCCTGCAATTTCAGGAACCATCTGCCTTGCTCACTGATATAACTTTAGTCCCATAAAGAATGCCTTGTTCATGGTTAAATGAGCACTAATTATTTGCAGAGTGATTTATGATTCAAGTTATCACCTCCGTAAGTGTTTTAGGCACCATGACACAAAAAGTAGCACATCCTAACACTTAGGAAAGTTCAAGTTCCTGGCATGCTGGAGATGCTGAATGAAGGAACAAACATCATAATAACTTGTGGGGAAAGCTGTGCTGTCTTTGAGAGGGTCAATATAAAAAGTCACCAGTATAACCATAAGGACTTCCAGAAAAAGCTTATCTAACACCAAAAAGCATGTGATTTCTGAAGTAAGTAAAGTCTAAAACAAGGTGAGAATATTCACAGTAAGTAGAATAG